AAGACATGGCTTATTATGTAATTCAGTGGTCCAAACATAAAGAACTATGAGAGAAATTCCTTCCAAAGAGTGATAAGGATGTGTCTGCATATCTGAAATAATTTTTGAAGTTTCCATTGACCTGTCAATGAGAAGTTTTGTTAGGTCTCCTAGATCTCCTGGGATTAAAGTTAGTATCTATCTTCACCCTCTCACATTTAACTATTATCTTTTAGAATAAGGATGTCTATTCAGGATGTAATTTATTTTATAGCGCTTTGGTGTTCTTGGTATGATACTATGTTGGTGCCTGTTGTTTTAATCTTTAATTCTAGGAGCTGTCTAGGAATGCACAGAACAAGGTGTTCAGTTGGCCTTGTATTTGAAAGGGTCATACTCCAGAGTCTTGCAGAGTCAGCTGCAAGTCCTTTTGATTTAGGTAGATTTATCCATAGTTAACACTTCAATTATGAACTAAATATAAAAGATTGATCTTTACTGATGAACTAGTGTCTAGGAAATTATTATGGTGGATGTATCAGTGGCTTCCCTTTGGTGAACATAAAGGTATTCAACATATGCAGATGAGATATTATAGCTAAACACATCTTAGTCTAAATGGACTGCATGGAAGATTCCATTGGTGCCTATACCCTGTACCTCTTAGAGATGAGGCCCATAGTTTTATCCCCAGTTGCACTGAGTCCAGGCACTGGGTTAGGAGGATTCCTGATTGAAAGATGCTGACTAAAGGCACAGATGCCTGTTTCTAGAGCATTGCTCTCTCCACCTCAAGTGAATGTGCACGTAAGATGTGGTCAAAGACTAAAACAGCAGAGCCCCACAGTTTCACTGTGTTTACAGAACAGGCTTTGCTCTTGATTTGCTAATAAATGTTTATCTAATAAATATCTGACTGTCTGGTTGAAATTAGGCTTGGCTTGCTTCCATTATAACCTGGAAGTGAGGTTGTAGTTGAGGGGAGAAGCTCTCTCTCAGAACCTCCCCAGGTGTTCACTGCTATCTAACCAAAAAAACAACAATTTTGCTAATTTTGGCTTCCATCAGTAAAAAGAATGCTATGAAATGGTTAATATGATAAATCATCTCAAAGTGTTTCAGAAAAAGATAGGTATACATTTTTGTGGTTAAAAATACTATTATGTTTCCAAAATACTAGGTCCAAAATAATCTACATGGCTCAAGAGCAAACATTTGCATACTTTAAAGTACAAAGGAAATTCTAAAAATAAACAACATTTGAGTGATAAAAGAACATCCTGGTTGAAATTTAAAATGCACAAAGAAATCAAAGGGCAATGACATTTTATGAGATAGCTTGAAATACAACGAAGTCAGTTATAATTACATTTTATCACTGCATTTTAAGAAGATATATAAAAAATTGCATTTGATTCCTCTCTCTGCTGCCAGCAATTGAATCTATAGTTCAAAGATTTGAATACATCATATTTTAAACAATGGATCATTTCAGCTTGTTTCTAACCCAACTCAAAAGAAGGCAGAGATACTCAGTAGTGAGATAATTGAATCAATTATAATTCAGCAAGCAATTCGGAGAAAAATCACAGTCTGACACTTCAAACTATTCTGGACCTCAGCATCAAATACCAGTTTCTACACAAACTACCCATGACACCTCTCAGAGGCAATACCAAAGAACCTGTTCATCAAGAAGCCCTCTCAGATGTTTCCAAGTATGGAATGGTAAAGCATTAGTCAGAGCTTATCAAGGAAATAAAAGATAGGAATTCGATCAATTACAAAACGCCCAGGGCAGTGATGGGGTTCTACACACAACCTAAAAAATGTACTGTACCCACTGACCATATATTACTTTTTAAAAATATTCTTTTGTAGTTTATACAGATCATAAGTTCATATAGATATTTCATTTTGCATGTTTTCTTTTTTTTTAAACATTGATCTCACAACAGTGAAGCAGGTACAGCTTTTCACAAACTGCTTTTTCACATAAAAAATAAAGTGAGGTCGATTAAATTGAATTCAGTACGTGTATCATAATCAAATATACAATTAATTCCCCTGGAAACCTGATATTGTTGAGAGTGATTAAGAATAAAATCCTAGTGGGTTACATTTTTCTTTCAAAGTCACTCCATAGTGGATTGTCCTAAGCTAGGAAGATCATTTATTCAGACTTACTAAAGCAAAATTAACATAGCATGAGAAAAAAACCAATAATTTTTCATTTTCTTCATCATTACTACCACTTACCACCCGCTCCTCCCCACAAGCATAAACAACTGTACGAGCAGAAATCAGCACAGTCTGTCTGGAACAGAACCACCAGGATCCCAAGACCATATAGAATCTATTCTGCAGAAACAAAACTATGCTGACTTTTTTTTTTTTAAACCAAGCCCAATGCCAGTCATGCTGCATAATCAGAAATGAAAAGTAAAATTAGACTTGGCTTATCTTGCCTTTGATGTTATAATGACCACAGATATCCAAAAGACATTCTAACTAAAAAAAAAAAAAAACAACAATAAAACAGGACATTGAGAAACTGGAAAAGCCCAAATGGGCAAGCAGAATGTAATTTCTCAAGACTACTCTAGTTTCTAAGTATTACTATGATTTAGACCTATTCAACAAAGCAGTCACTTGCTACATGTAGCCACTGAGCTCTTGAAATTCACCTGGTTCAAACTGAGATGTACTATAGGTATAAAATACAAACCAGAATCTGCAGACTTTATAAAAAAATGTTTTAAAATATTGCATTAACATTTGAAAATGTTACTTATATGTTAACATGGTCATCTTTTGGATATATTGAGTTAAACACATTATTAAAATTGATTTAGCTTACTTATTTTTACTTAAAGTGGCCGGTATATATCACTATCAGATATGTAGCAGGCATGTGTGGCCAACACTGTATTTGTATTGTACAGCAATGATCCAAAAGAAATAGACAATAACCATTACAACATGTAGAAAACCTTGTGAGAAATTCTACTAGTCAAACCATTTGGCTCAGAACTTGTAAAAACTTTGGCACATAGTATAAAACAGTTTTTACAGCATATTTCCTACGGAAGACCATGATGTTGGGAAATAAGAGTGTTTGGAGGGTAAAACATGACAGAAAGGGAGGCTTTGTTGGAAAAAAAAAAACACCCAAGTTCAACCACCAGCTAAAGCGAACTCTAGCTCAACTTTTTCTGGTGCCCAGATCCAGTAGATGATTTCTGCTTCAGAGGGAAAGTCTCCTTTTGCAGGGAGTTTCAAGGATGAAGAGTTAAAAGAATTATGACCAGGTGAGAACAAGTGTAGGAGTTCTTCTAAGAGCCTGCTCAGGGAACAGTAAGAACAGGGGTGAGGTGGGTGATGATTACCTTCTCAGTATTCTTGGCCTTCCCTTGTGGCTCAGCTGGTAAAGAATCCGCCTGCAATGCGGGAGACCTGGGTTCGATCCCTGGGTTGGGAAGATCCCCTGGAGAAGGGAAAGGCTACCCACTCCAGTGTTCTGGCCTGGAGAATTCCATGGACTGTATAGTCCATGGGGTCGCAAAGAGCTGGCCTTGACTGAGGACTTTCACTCCACTTCCCTTCCGGGCCTACGGGGGCCGGGTGTGTCCCACCCTACACCCTCACCCTTGCCCCTCACTGTGCCTCCCTCACTCTGGCCTTTCTGCCTGACTTTCCTTTCCCAGGCATTTCTTTGCAAACTTATGTTAAACAGTCAGAAAGGAGACCTGAAATATATTTTAATAGACTTTGCATTTTCTTATCTCATCACAGGAAAGAAATAGGGGGGAAAAAACCAACCAAACAAACCCTAAGCACTCAGATACATGAAAGGTGGATGCACCTTTCACTTCTCCAGGGCCTCTTACTGGATGCTTACTGCTGTTCCCTGTTTGGTTTCTGTCTGTCATGGTCAGTGACCCTTCACTGTCTCCCATCTTCCTGCAGCCCAAATAGAATATGGGTCAAAACAAATCTTCATCAGAATCATCTAAGTAGTTTTCCAGGACTCTCAAGACCTGAAATCAGATCCTTTGGGTGGGAATGGGATTCTGAGGAGTGCAAGTTTAGTAAAATAAAAAATAAAAAAAACTATCCATAATTTTCTGATGGTGATGTCTGTCCTACAAATACCTAATATATTAAAAGAACCAATTGAAAAGTACATTGGATGTTCCAAGAATGACAGGGTATAGGGAAAAATTTCAATTATTGACCTTAGTATTTGAAAAAAAATTAAGAACAGGCCCAAATTGACAAAGATTATCAAAGCATTTTTCAACAGAATATCTTTGAGATTAGGGTCGTTTAATTTACGATTTCTATTATGGGTTTCTTGGAATGTATTTCAAAGTCATTTAGTAAAAAGACTGACAGTCATTCCTCAAAACACATGGTTATTTAACTCAAGTCATACATTTTTACCTTCTGCTGAAAGTGATTATTCAGTTAAAGAACTACAATACTGTTTAAGTATAAAACTACTTTTTGGTTAAGTTAAATTTTATTGAAGGGCATAACATGTAGAATCACTCTCACCTAATGCTATCTTACTATTATTATTGTCTAAAAAAGCTTTTTAGTGGATTTTTAAGAGCTATGTTACACTTGTTAGCAATTTACAGTTGAATTAGGAATCAAAATGTTAATAAATTAGGCCAAAACACAGGAAATCTTACTACAATTAGGATAATGAATTAAAAATTCGTGCTTTTGATGTTTCAAAGTTTTGAACTCATAGAGCTTTGATATAATGTTTAATAAACACATATTTCTACTATTATAAACAGCCTCTCAGTTCCCAAGAAATTAAGTCAAAGGCATGTATTTCTGTACTGGAATACATAATACTTTTATTCAGAACAAGATATTTTTACTTTTAAAAATAATTTTGTCATAATTTCCCCATGTTATTAAGAAAAAAACATTTAGATATCAATAAGCAACTTTAGGTTACAACATAAACACAGAAAGAGAATGAAAATAATCACCAACCATACCTTATTATGTGTCTGAGTCTGTCCAACCAGTATGAGGATGTTGGATGAGATGATAGACAGGCAGAAGTTAATTAGAATTATGGACCTCTCAGAGCGTATGTACCTAACCAGAGAGAGAAAAAGTGTCCAACTTTAAAGTTCAAAGGAAAGATGAAAAATTCTCTATTATACAAATTGGCAGAACTCATCCAGAAAAAGATACACTAAGCTGCAGGCTTTATGTGAGAAAACATAAAAAAGTCATTTTTAAGAAAGATTATGGCAAAAACCACCACAATATTGTAAAATGATTAGGCTCCAATTTATATAAATAAATTAATTAAAAAAAAGAAAGATTATCCTTTGAGACCCAATTTTATAGTGAAATGTGACATCCAAGAGACCTTAAATTTTATTTTCTTTAGACCTTAGTGTAGACAACATGGCATTTCTGACAGAAGCTAAGCTGTACCTGTGTTATCACCGTACATTTTTTTTACTAGAAATAAAAAATTTCTTTGAACTATGAATTAGTATAAGAACCTTTACTATATATGTATATATAATATGCTAATTATCACCAAACTCATCAATGGGTAAAACTCTAGAACCAAAAAGAAAAAAAATCCACACAAATTGTGAAATATCCCCCCACCCCTGCACTGTTTACTAGAAGGATGCCATTAGTTTCATGAAACCACAAACATTTTCATCCACTACGTCATTATCTCAAGTTTTTTTAGGTTGTTACTCTTTACATTTTTCTTTTCCTGAGGAATTGTCCCAAACCAAGAAAAAAGAAAATGAATCTTTACTGCTAAAAACTAACCCAGTCCACAAATTATTCATCATTAGGCTAGAAAATTACTTGGCGTCTGCCATATTTTACCCTCATGAAGAAGTTTATATACGGTCTGTCACATAATTTTTAAGTGCATCAAGAATGTAATTCATGGAGAAAACTGCTCAGAATCAAATGTTCTACCAGCTGTTTACCCTAACAGGGTAGCAGCTATTTTGCTTTCCTGTACCCAGTGGCAAATCACTGAGTGACATTTAAAAAAAAAAAAAAAGAAGATATATTTGCTCTTGCTGTGAATTTGAGACTGTCCGATTTGTATTAGAACATGAAATCACTGTCTACGCCTGTGCGGGGTTACACGGGGGTGCAAGAGATCTGGAGACACTTTAGAAAGTAAAATCTATGAAAAGTTCTTTCTCTCTGTTGTGAGGAATATGAAGGCTGAGGCCCTACATTCCACCACATAGTTCAGAAAAGAATGCAAACCAGAAATGAGTAACAATAAAACATAAAAAGCATTTTTAATGTAAGAGAAACTTCCTTTCTTCAGAGAACATAGAAGGAGCCTAAGTTGACTCTCAATTAAAAAAGAAAAATGGGCTCAAGAGTATTAATCTTGTCCCTGCATCATCAATATCTAAAAATATAATAAACCACACACTGGGATACTGAAAACATCATCAAGTATTAAGTTGCTTCTTATTTTGTGGGTGGGATATGTATCACAAAGAGTTTAAGGACTGCACAAAACTGACCCTTTATGTGATATTAAAGGCTTCCATGACACCACAAGTACATAGATATTATTTAAAAGTTTTCATTGATATTATTTACTCAGTAAATAGAAGAATCGTGGTAATAAGGACCTAGACAGACCAACCTGCAGAGTTTTTCCATTTTCATTTCCATTGTAATATTGCCTTAAAATTTTAGTAGTTATCTCAACTTTGAAAACTTTCTATAAAAATGTTTTATGTTTCAAGCAAAATTTGTGAGTGCATCATTTCAATATATGGGCTGAAAGGACATGCTCAGTTGCTCTTTGATGTAACAACATAACTCCACAGAATATATTTGTAGGTGGAGAGAACGTCACAGTGGATTCATTTTTTTGATTAACATTTCTGATAAACTATATGAGACACCAACAAATTTCCAAGTAGTAATTATATATAAAATAATTTTTATGGTCACACATTTTATACATCATTAGAAAAGCAAAAATTATAAATCTCTTAATTAGAAAAAAAGGCAGTAGGATCCTGAGCATTCATGCTACAAGAGCCACTTAATATCAATAGCTTTTGAATCTTGAAACTTCTATCAAATTATTAATATTATTTCAATTCTTCTACCTGTAGACAATGAGTTGATGGCCACTAACTGTTAGGAATTCAAATTTATGTTGTTTCTGGGGAGTGTCTTTTATACTTCTAAGTGTCATGTCAAAACTGGGTAGATACTTGCAGTTGGAGAAAACTCTTATAGTAGGTGATTTTCCTGGATTTTCTGTATTACAGAAAACTTTACTAGGGACTAATTAATCCCGTACTTCTTGGATAAACTTCTTATATCATTTATACCAGCAGTGTTTGTGCTAGCATTAGCCACATCTGTTGAGGTGTGAAGAAAAGGGGGAATTGGTGGCTGAACTCTAAGTAATGAGAAATGGAACTTAGTCCTGACTATCTCAGTGAGTATGAATTATGATGCTATTGATGAACTGTGATACTATTACCTAGTATCCTGGCCTGTAAACATTGCCTCGTTTCCTTAGAAGAATCTTTTAGGCAACTGTGGGAGAGAAAGGCTTCTTTCCAGTCTTTGCCTGTCTTGCTCTTATATTATCAGGACAATGCCTGATCGACTGAGCCCTGAACCCAGGATCCTACTGTCTACTATGCCATGCCTAGACCAAGCATCTCTTTCATTTCATAAGACTGATTATACATTATTAGATTGTCTTTCTTAGCACTTTACTACCCTTCATGGGAAGGCAGAACTTCTGTTACATATCTGCACCAACAGACCAAGAATGTATACATACTTAGTTTTGTATGAAGCATAAAAATTTTAATATCTTTGACAATATAATATCCTGGACAATTAACTTTTGTCTTCAAAAGAGTAAAAAATGTAACAGAGAACTTTTTTTTCCAAAAACAGAGGTCAATCAAATGACCTTTCCTTAATAAATTATAATTAACTTTTGGACAGAATTTTTTTTATATTAAGTAAAAGATAAGTACAATACTAGGGCTGGCAATCTTTGCAATTTTAATATTTCAAATATTCAAATAATAATATGTAATTATCTATTTACTAATATAGCAACTGTTTTTAGAATATTTTTAACTAATAAAAATGGAAACAATAATGTTTAACATTTAAAAATTTATTGGGAAGTTTGGTTACACACTAGCTAACAATATGTCAGTAGACAAATAAACCTTACAAGTCTAATATTCTCATTAATAGAATAAGAACAAATCTTAGGAAAACACTATATTTTCACATAATATCAAGTAGATGCAATTTCAGGTATTATAGAACAGTATTTTTCAATCACTTCCTCTTGTCTATGTATTTTTTCTGACTTCTTTTAATCAGTTTGTCAAAATCTGACTTATTGGAAACAGTCAACCAAGAAACCTTTTCTAAAGCTTTATGGTATCTATTATGTTAATATATTAATATTATAGAAGATTTTACTCATTGTACAGGACACATTTTATGTGTTTAAAACAAGCATTTGTAGACCATATTTCTATAACAGAGAAATTAATTTGACTGTATCAATTAAACTCTCAAACTCAATAGCAGTTGGGATAAATAGAAACCGCACATAGACTGAATTTGGGGTATTAAGAATACTTGGGCATAAGCAACTTGTTGAAGACTACCATCATCTGAATTGAGTGTGTGTGTGTGCATGTGTGTGTGTGTGTGTATGCTTCGTTTATTTTCTTATCATAGGAAAATACAGAGAAGAAAATTAAGTAAACACTTACTTAGCACTTTTGAATTCATCTATTATAGTTCAATCAAAGCAATTATAGCTGTTTTAAAGGTACTTTTGCCAATAAATCAAGAAAACATGAGACATGTAATAGCTATCACACTCTGATTTAACTCTGAATAACAGCATTCCATTTGAAGTGTGCTAACTGATTACATACCTCCATAACGCGGCATAGACCACTGCTAGGGTGACCAACGCCAAGCAGGAAAGGCCACTGCCCACGATTAGGGTAACTGAAGGTGTATTGGAGGATTCCATGATCTGCAAATCAAAAAAAAGAAGCACACAAAATAGAGAGAGAGAGAGAGAGAGAGGATTTTTAAAATAAATGAAAATAACTTCTAAACTCAACCAAACTATCCTAACACTCAAAAATAGCCAATATAGTTGTTATAGTAACCAGATAATTACCCAGTAACCACTCTGTTCACATATTCTCAACCCCTAAAATGACTAATTCTAGCTGCTCCCTCTCTCCCACTGTGAAGTAATGAAGGCCTTAAGAGTTTTCAGTGCTTGATTGTGGCATATACCCACTTATTGCTTTCTAAAATAAATCACTAAAGTTACAACTTGGACAGCATTAACACGTTAAATTTTCTCTAGCTGATATTTGAAGCAGTATTCATTTTTCTTCAACTAACTACAGTTCAGTTATTTCACAATATGCGTTTTTAGCGAAATGTACCTTTATCCTCCTATTTACAAGGCATTATGTTATACAAATCTGGTAACTAGATATTGAAAAATGTTCAAACTTTCTGACTTTTGACAACTTTGCTTTAAGTCAAGTATTCTTTCATTTAATTTCAGTAGCTTGGCCTCCTAGAATATAGAAGAAAATCAAATTTCAGATATAAGACCTAGAATATGTTTTGTGATTCTTTTTTCTGTGGACAAAATATAGAGTTAATTTTCACAGTCAATATCATTCTCTAAATATATGACCTTGAAAAATAAAACCTTATATTTTTAAAAAACTGTATAAAGATCACAAGCAGTCACTGATTTGAGAGATTTCTTTCTTCAGACACTAACATGGTACTAACTAGTAAAATCTACTGTTTTTTCATATTTATAGTATTGGAAGTTTAAAGAAATGTACTTTAAGATCAAGTGTGTTCCAAACCTTAGATAGGCACAATGAATTTTATAGATATTTTTTGTTATCAAAATAAGTAACAGTGATGCATATTTAGGCCAGATTTAGAAAGAAAGTCACATTTGTTTTAATAATTATTTCTCACCATTTCAATTTCTGAAACAATTTTTCAAAATACCTTTGATGAGGATATTGTTTTTCTTTCAGACAGTTCATATAGCTGCCTGCTTCAGAAACTAGTTTTGCAAATCTATATACTTCTAAGGAATGATTTTACAGTTTCTGATAGTCCATACTTTCACTAAAACTTCATTTAATGTTTTAAAAATAAATATCCAAGGACATCCCAGAAAACCTGTACTGAAAATATCCAATGCAGATATGCAATGTGTTTGGCTATAGTGTCTGGGGTCTTCATTCTACTACTAACAGTATCCTTACAAATTCCCCAGAACAGATTTCGAGTTCTAAAATAAAAGGTTAAGCTGACAATTATTTTTATTTGAAAGTTTGCAGCATATTTGCAATATGATTGTACTACATACTTAAAACTATACTGCAGAAATTTCAAGTTAGAAGACATAAAATTGAGTAGAATTTAGTTATAGCACACCAACTAGAATTCATTTCACCAAGCCACTGTAGCTAAGGAGGAGACGAACCCAATTTTGCCACCCTGCAACATTTTCCATTTCCCCATTTAAAATGCAGTTCCCTGGAGAAACACTCTCCACAACGTCCCTGCCTTTGCATTAAAGCCGTGTTTTCCCTTTGTTACTTACTATTTCTCTAGGTTGCTGAGCCAAAATGGCGAAGGTAGAGAGACGATCACATAAGCATTTCGTATGGGATGCATCGGTAAGCACAGTTTTACATCCCTGGGTGGACCACGTTCCCAAAGAATCGTTCCTGCAAAGTGTGGGGGGAAGATCGGGATAAATACGCCTGACGGCCAATTCCGTAAAGAAGAAAATGCAGTTTAATTGAGAGAATCGTCTACTGTAATTCCCGCACAGGAAAAAGGAAAAAAAAAAAAATCTACTTGTTGTTGAATAGGACGTAATTTAGATGCATCTCCAGTAAGGCAAAGCGAGAGTGTTTGGAGGAAGCAGGCGGGCGGCGGTGCAGCGTGCAGAGAGCTGTCCAGCGCCGGAGGTGCTGAAACCGGGACTGACTCTGTCCAGCCCTCTGCGAGGAACGGCGGCAGCGGCGGCGGCACGAGCAGCCGCCAGAGCGTTGGCAGCCACTTCCTATGCTCATCGGATCGTTTCAAACACTCAGAGTGTAAAGAGGCTTTTCACATTTCATACCAGCTCTGATCCCCGTCCCGTATTTTTGGATCCTGAATGTTGGCTTTTAAAACGAGGATTTCTCTGAAAAGTCTGCCTAAAAGGTTAGATAGCTCGTGTTGGGTGATAGAATCTTCTCCGCTGTTGGTTAGGGATTTTTTTTTTTTCCTCCCCTTAGAATTAGCTGCTGTGAAAATTTCACCCTGGAAATGGGAAGCAGCAGCAGCAGCAGCGGCATCAGCTGGTTCCGACTCTCATTGCCTTTGCCTGGTATCCAGGGGAGGGGTGGGTCTCAGACAGAAGCTTCCCACTCCACACTTCACTCAGCCCGAGCTCCTCTGAAGCCCTTGACATTCCTCCCCCCATCCCCACCCACCTCTCTTCCCGGGGTGGGGCATTAAGTATTAAGCTAACCTGGAGTCTGCTACAACATTTAGAAAAATAACTCCACCTCAAAGTCTGGTAGGAAAGGGGAAAGAGGGCCTGCTTCAATGTTCCCTTTGGTGTAGCCATTCAAAATTCTAAAGCATATGGTTTATTTCCCACCCCAGCAGAACAATAAAAATGGTATCAACCTACGCCTACTTGAGGGGGGTAAAGAAGGGGGAGAATCCTTCCACCCCCGACTGAACTACTCCACAAGAAGAGGAAGAAAAGAAAAAAAAAAAAAGCTACGGAGTTCAACCAATCAACTTGATTATCATTACACGTGTTATATACTGAATGCACCAATTGTCACCTCCCCTCCCCCAGGCATGGAAACTCCAACTAGCAAACCTGTGTGTATGTGTGTGCTTAAATTTCAAACCAAGTTACTATCTATGTTAAAAATGACTCTAAAACTCCAGAAGCAGAACACATGGCTTGATGTTAATTTTGATAAGGTACTTTTTATTTCACCTACTCCATATCTCTGAATGCCTAAAGCTATTGGGCTAAATATGAATGCAGTCTATTTCTGAGGTATTTCAATGACAGAGGTTTCACTGTGATAGTTGGACCTCCAAGTTGAGTTGTAGAATATAATTCATACTATCCCTATTTTTGTATTTAGATGCAATATCTGTTTAACATTTATTAATTTTATTTTAATATTGATTTGATTTCATTAATATTCATGACTCAAAATACTGTTAGTTACAACTTTTTTTAAAGAGAAAGAATAGACTATATTTGGGAAGAGGCACATAAAAATTATGACTAAGTTTATCCAAGTACTTCTAAGTATTAGCCAGCTAATATGAGTCAGTTAAAAATTTGGTAGGTTCTTTTCTTTCTCATGATGTCATAGAACCATGCAATATATATATATATATATAAAATTGATTGTCTGTCTCTTATATCTTATCTTCTTGTGACAAACAGTTAAGGCCAAATAAAAAATGTTTATCTCAGTAGATTAAAGTTTAAAGAAGAATGATACATTTAAGAGAATCTGACAATTTTTAAAGCATAACATTGCATTATTCATCCTGGATAACAGCTTATTTATCCTGGAAAGAAGTATTTCTGCTCTCAAGATGGAGTCCAATATATACACTTTTCACATTATGTAGCTATGAACAATAAACCCAAACAAAGTCTTAACCAGGAACAAAACTGTACTGCAAATAAGACCTCATATGAGACAAAGTGGCATGTTTATATTTAGGTAGTGAAAGCTTGTTTACTCAAGAAAATGTTAGCTATCACTAACCTTTGACTGTCAGATATAGTCTATGTTCAATATAATGTTGCTATCCTCTGAAGATCATATAAATTTTATATGACATCTTTAGAAAAGTAGGTCAATTTACATTGCTCTGTACAATGATGTAGTGCTGACCTGATCCAGCCCCAGGCAAACTGGGAAGTAAGTGACACTGGTTTCCATTTTTTAATCTTTAATTCCCCCCAAGCATGAAATGTTTCTAATCTCACTGGACCCCTTTTGATGGGTCCCTTCTTAAGGTTACATAACCTCTGTCCTTAGTTTTCTTTGGAATTATTATCCCTTTGTTGACTTTATCTGATTAAACTAAGATAATAAAAGTGACTGAGTATAGTTTGATGTGTTCTTTTCAGCTTAACACAGTCATAAAACACAAAATAATGCATCTGATGGCAGAACACCAGAATATGATCAGATGGGTAGGAGTGAAAATTTTGATAGGTGAGGGGTAACTAGCAACTTCTGTACTTACTCACTTCCAAGAGTTGAGTGTGATGCCATCAGATGTTAAATTTTATATTGTTTCATAAAATCTCTTGATATTATAAAATCACTAGCATACACATTACTATTATTACAAAAACTACAATATATGTCACATGTATTTTCAAATAGTTCATAGCCATTCCGACTGTGCAAAATTCTTTGAAAGCATGGCACATGTGTCTGATTGATTTCAGGGAGACCTTGTAAAACAAACTGTTATGGCGGTAGAGATAATGTGAAGTAAAACAGCTTCCTTAGTCTGCACAGAACAAGGTTTTAAAACACGTGGACTATTCCAGCAGTCACATTATTCTTCTAATTTCAGAGATTTGCATGCCATGATTAATGGTATAACTGTGAATTATTCTTAGTTATTAAGTGTACCTTGTCATCAATGGGGCAAGCAAATACAATGAAATATGTATGAACATTAAAGATATAATAAGACTCACAGACTGAGGATGTCAGAAACAAACACAAAATGGTGATACTGAAAAATCACATCTTTCTTTTCATAGTGTCTTTTCTGGACGCTAATTTTTTTTTCAAAAGTTTTCCAAATAACTAGGCCTGCAGAAATTTCATATAACTAGCACGTTCTTTGTTGGCTACACCTACATTCACCCATGTTAGCCATTAGCTGTCATCTGTACCTCTTTTCCTTCTTCCTATTATTAGGCTGGCTAAAAGAAGAAAAGAGTCTGCCTGTCCCAAGTACTCAAAAGTACATACTCACAAGCACAGAATTCTGTGAAAATATAAGACCCCAAATCTATTACTTCCCAGCTTACGATTTATTTGAGGCCTTTCTCAATTTTCTAAGAGTTTATACGATATTTCTCTGCATCTGAATTCATTGTTGGGTTCTTGATTTCACGGGAGAATTAAATAATACAGCATACAATTATATTCTTTAGCATTTAAGATTAAAGAAAAAGATTATCTGTTCACTCCAATGAAAAGTTGTTAGTAAAAAACTTGATAGCAAAAACTTACAGTGACACATTTCAAAACTGTGTCAAGAAAACAAACTTGTATCTTTTGAGATACCAATACAGCTAAATATTCCTCTCTAATCAGTCTTTTATAAACTGTTTATACTGCTTTACGGTACATCAATGTGTAAAGTGTTTATCATGAATAAGTGATACACTTTAGGAGCTTTATTATAAAATCTCAGGATTTTGATGGTCAATTTATTCGAAATCAAAATAGCTACAATATCACTTCTTAAAAATTTAATACATAACTTCTGAGTACACTGTTCTTAAAACGTATGTGCACTGAAGGAAAGTGTTTCCCAGTCATAGCAGTCATTAATGTCTAAGAACTAGGTGAATCTGTATCACTTTCTATGTATATGCTACACTCGAAGGAATAATTATATATGTCTCTTTCTATAAATTATTCTCATAATACAGAAATTTTGGAGTACAGATAAGGAAATGTTCTCAGTTTTGAGCAGAAACAGTCTTGAAGGTAATCTAGTTTCCAGGACATTGGAAATACTGACAAATTTGTTGTCTCTATCAACCATTGCTGTGTCAGAACGCAGTGATTCATAAAATTAGGAAGTTTTGTGAGAACTAACTTTAGTGATCAGCTAGCCCATTGATTTTCAACACTTACTGTATATTAAAGCCATTTGGAGACCTTTAAAAATTAAAGTCTGAGGTGGGGCCTGGAATTATTTCTTTTTCCCAGATGATTCTGATATGCAGTCAGGGTTGAGAAGCACTGATCTATCCCAAACACTTACTTTTACAGATGAGGAAAGTGAAGTGCAGTGAATTTAGGAAGCTTGTTGAAGGCACAGAGTGAGACACAAGGTTGTCTCTCTCATTCCTAGAGTAGAGACTTTTTTCAGTATTAAATTTTAGATGTAACCTGTTTTAAACAGAATGTAATGAACAGTCCTATGAAGTATAAGGTCTGCGTGTCATGTTACCTACACTTGAAAATAATGCGGCCTGTGTGTAGTGGTTTTTAGAAAGTATGATTTATCAGTGGATGAATTTAGCTAAAGATAGATTATCAAACTGTTGTGTTCATATTGTTTTTTAAGTGAAATATATATATATATATAAATTATCATAATGGCTGCATATAGTATTATATACTAGTATACACATACATATATAAATCATTTTTACCATAAAAAGAATAAAAACACAAAGCATTAATATTTCATTCACTGTCATGAAATTTAGGAGTGAGTACTCTGCGACAAGAAGGAACAACACTTATCATCCACTACTGAACCTGAAATTACAAGTGACTCCTCCATACCTTAAAAACCAGCAGAATCCCAATTTTTCACTTTAGTTCAGTTCAGTCTCTCAGTCATGTCCAACTCTTTGTGGCCCCATGGACAGCAACACGCCAGGCTTCCCTGTCCATCACCAACTCCTGAAGTCCACCCA